TGTGACCACGAGCTGTCGAAGGGATCGGGTGTCAGGCATCAAGGAACAAGAAATCATGTCATTGTAAAGGTGGGTGAGTGCAGAGTGGAGGCTCAGAGTCCATCGGTAGGCAACTGAACACCCCCTTGCTAAGGGGTGTGGTGAGGAGACGAGCCAATCAGGGTGCAGGGTAGCAACGATGAAACATAACTTTCCTCTAGTTCTTGAATGCTCCCCCCCCCCATCATGATCCCAATTCTGCCTAGCAAATCTGGCTAGACCAGAGGATGTACATTGTACAGATAGCAACTGGAAACACAGGGAATCTAGGAAAGATGACTCCTTCAGGACCAGTGGTGAGAGGGGTGATGCCTGGAGGATAAAGGGAATGTGGGGTAGATGGGGGGAACCAATTACAAGAATCTAAGTATAGCCTCCTCCCTGGGGGATGGACAGCAGAGAAGAGGGCGGAAGGAGAAGCCGGACAGTGTAACTTATGACAAAACTATAATAATTTATGAATTATGAAGGGTTCATGAGGGAGGGGGGAGTGGGGAGGGAGGGGGAAAATGAGCAACTGATATTAAGGGCTAAAGTAGAAGGCAAATGTTTTGAGAATGATGAGGGCACAAAATGTATATATGTGCTTGACAAAATGGATGTATGTATGGACTGTGATAACAATTGTACGAGCTCCCAGTAAAATAATTTTTTTTAAATGTGCTGAAAACTCGGCTTATACACGAGTATGCACGGAGTTGCCAGAGTTAATTCTGATTCATGGCTACCCACTGTGTACAGTGTAGGTCTGAGCTCCACAGGGTTTTCAGGACACCGACAACCTTTCAGAAGCAGATCCCCAAGCTGTTTTCCTAGACTCCTCTGGGTGAGTATGTACCACTGACTTCTGGCTAGGAGTCAAGTGCATAATCATTTGCACCATTTGCTCTACCAGATAAAGGTGACTGCTCCCTGAACATTACCTGTATTTTACTGTTTTAGGGCATCTCCTGCTATCTGATTTATGTTACTTTGGATCTTTTTGCCACAGCATCATGAACCACCCCCATATAGACTATTGGATACATCTCTTGACCCCTCAATGCCCAACACAGAGTTCAATGATTCTAGTTTCATCACTTATGAAATCACCAGCAATGAGGAAGATATATTGAAAAGGTAAGAACACTTAACTCTCCTAGAAGTTAACTTTAACCACAGATAAGTACTCATCTCTCTGAAGACTGAAACATAACAACAAAAACACAAACTCTCTGCTACTGAGTCCACTCTAACTAAAGAGCTACTTCCTGTCTTATGTTTCTATCCATTCCACTTGTTCTACAAGAAGCTATGAGGAACACTGCCCAGTGGAAGTAGATGATCTTTTTAAAGTCCTTTATTGGTCTGTCTGGCCAGGATTTGTTAATGCCTACTAACTATGTGCCTAATCTGTAACTTGAAACATTTTCCTTCCATTTATTTTCCTCTTCTTTAACAGTCACAGGAAACTCTGGTGGTGTAAACCACTGGCTACTTTTCCCATGGGAGAAAGTAGTGGTTTTTTGCTCCTATAAAGAGTCCTCGTCTCAGAAACCTACACAGGCAGTTCTACCCTATTGTACAGGGTCACTATGAGTTGACATCAACTCAATGGCAAGGAGATGAGTGAGCTTTACCTGAAAATGCAGGCTGTAGTCTAAGCTAGTACACAGTTGGCTGGAATTTGTAAAACAGTCATAAAACAGGAAACCGTAAATTGGGAGGGAGAATAGCATCTCCTGGGGAGTCAGAGCCACTTCTCATTTTTTTCTTTTGGATTATCTACATTTCACATTTTCTTCAATGCACACACAACTGATCTGACTGAACACTATCAACATTGTGTGAAATTAGACTGGTCGCTCCTCCGCTCCACACCCCCCTCCCCCCAAATAGCCCAACATAGTTCATTTTAGCTCAGTTCATTACAGCACTTAGAATGTCTGACCACATGCCCTGTTCCCCCTAATATTAATTCTAAAGCTTTCTTCCTCTCTCATGTAAGGAAAGGTGACCTACCTGGATCTCTTCTCGAGAGAGATGCACAGAATTTTGCACAAAGTTTTGGGGTTCATCCCATCCTCCTTCCTGGGTCTCCAGATTGTGGTAATAGTGATAGCCACCTTTCACCCAGTGCTTCACCCACTTGCTCTGATTGTCGCCTGGTAGAAAATACGGGAAAAATAGAAGGAAGGCAGAGTTGCAGTTCCTCTGATGTTTACGTCAACAGGATCACACTAGCCAGGTTAAACAATGGAAGTGAAGACCTTCCAAAGGAAAGTAAAAGGCATCCTACATTCTCTTTTAGTGATGGCTTTGTAAGGTCTAATTTGATTCATTTACATCTAATTATAAAAACAAAATAAAATGAGAACTCTTTTTAAAATCCCCCTTTTCTTGTAGGTAAACTATATCCAACTGTCTACGTAGGCTTATTCAACCATGGAGACTCCCTTTACAGACACAGTTAGATATTTGATCCATGCACATTCTCTGGAAATTAGCCTCATTAAGCTAGCTGTTCACAATGGAGAAAAGAATCTGAAAAGCCTTTAAAATGAGCCTAACAACTACTTCTCCATGCTAACATGTCTTCCCCTAAAGCTGGTCCCTTTCCTCTGCATCTCTCTCCTCAAGTTTGTAACTTCAGGGCACAGATTTAATTCGAACTCACCTGCTGCCAGTTTATTCTTCCTGGCTTCAGAAAGGTCACTTTGGTAAGTTTCACCACATTCAGGGATGACACCATACAATCCAACATCAGGGGAACGAAGGGCACTCAGGGTTTTGCCAACATCCCCACTGTCTACTGCCTCATTAATCGCCAAGACTCCCAAGGCAACTATCCAATCAGAAAAGAACAGTCAGAGAACAGTTTAGAAAGCATCTGAATTCATACACTATTTCACCTCATTATACCTATTGGCAAGTCACCCCCTGCCCCCCACCCCTGAATCCCTCTATCTTAGATAGCTGAACATTGAGATATGGAGCACCTCACCTTCCTCCCCGCTCTGCTAGCATAGAAATCAAATGATTGATACGTACACTTCTGTGCTTCTTGGGTGTCTTTGTTGGACTGCCAGATTCCACCCTGAATTTCATCCAGCCACAGCACAGCAGACTCATCCTGGGTTTCCTGCACAACGTAAAAAGTAGAATCAAATCAGACACATGAAATCCAGATGAATATGAGGACACAAATGGGATTGAGGGGTGTTCTGAGGCTCAATTAAATACGGAAGAAGTTTCCAATGTGCGAGACAAGAGAAAAGCCAAATGGGAGGCCCCTTTGTTAAGATATCGCAAACACCTTCGTAGATAGCATCATGCTCTTCAGATTAATATGGCAATCTTCTCCAGAAAGGGCAAGGCACCTCAGAGGCTTAAAAGGATGAGAGTAGTCATGTTTGAGGTATTTGGTTGATCCAGTAGTATGAATGGAGGCTTGAGCTAACAGCAATAGGCATACACAGCAGTTTAAATATCTACTTGGACTGTTTGATAGGAAATAGCTTGACAAGCCATTGATGAGGCAGAATGAAGAACTGGAGCCAGCAACCTACCTGAGGAGCCCTGGCAGCACAATGGTTAAGAGATTAGCTGCTAAGAGAAAGCTTGGCTGTTTGAGACCACCAGTCACTCTTAGGGAGAAAGATGCAGCAGCAGTTTGCTGCTCTTCAGACTACAGCTCTGGAAATCTCTGTTCGGTGAAATCAACTTAATGGCAATGAGTTTTCACCCTAACTATGCGGTCCAATGAGCCCGGTGGTGTAGTGGTTACTCATTGGACTGCAATCGGAAAGGTCAGCAGTTTGAAACTACCAGCCACTCCAAGGGAGTAAGATGGGGCTTTCTACTCCTGTAAAGAGTTACAGTCTCAGAAACTCACAGGACAGTTCCACCCTGTCCTACAGTGTCCCTATGAGTTGGCATCGACTTGATGGCAGTGAGTTTTGCTTTTGGTTTGGATGTGGTCTGGGCCTTTGGGACAAAGGGAAAAGTTGTAATGCTTTCAGTAGGCCTGATGGTAGAGGGAGACACGTACTTGGTGGCGCCATGTGGCCTCAAATCCCTGATGACGAGCAAAAAAGAAATTGGAAACTGAAAGCAGTAATTCTTCTTAGTTTTAGAAAGAAAGATCACTTTAACCAAATGATGCTCAGTGCCGGGTTTACGTAAGAAGTACTGTTTCTACTCTGAAACCTCGCAGGCTTGAGAAAGGGAAATAACAATAAAAGTAAAATACAAATCACCTCACAGTACCTACCACCAGTCATTTCCTATTGCTGAAAATAGAAAACGGCTATACACAATCCTCCAGAGCCCTAAGAATAAATACTGGAAACCCTAAGCAATGGCTTCAGTGTGAGACAATGCAGTGAGTCAGCTATAAGCTTGTGCCAACTTCAACCGAGCAGCCACAAGTAGGAAGCCTACGCTCCAAGGGAGAGGCTTACATCATCAAAAGAAGCATTTTCCACAGAACCAGGCTATTTTTGGGTTCACTTTTAGGTTAAACACATGTCATATACATCTGAGCAAAATCTACTGAGCAAATCTGAGATGCTTAGGACAACTTCCTGGTACTGAAAAGAAAGGCCTAGCTTAACAGTCATTCCGACAGTTCATTCAGGGCTCTGGTTTTCTTGCCCTAAAAAGAATACAATAAAAGGATTAAAGTAAAACTCTTCCGACACTTTCCTGTAAAATGTAAGTATTGGAGCTTTCATATGAAAAGCTAGGAAAAGAGAGGGAGCCAGTGTCTCAGGTGTCAGGGAAACATGATCTAGGACTACCCTCACCCCAAACTGGAGGAGGAGAGCGATGGCATACATTACCTCATGCTAAGGGAAGGAAAGAACAGGCTCTTTCTGGTCAGTGAGGTCAAGCAAGATGCCCTAAACCCAAACCATCTTATTAAAGTGTGCTCTAAAGAGATTACCTAATGCTAATGTGTGAATGACTTTACCTGGGTCTTGCTGCCTATCGGTTAAAATCAGAAACTTCAGTTCTACTAAATCAGAGTTAAAAAAAAAAGGAAAATGTAAAAACAATACTAATACAGTTATCATTGTTGCTACTCCCAAATAGCAACAACTACAATGGAAACCAGATTGCTACATGACAAAAAATTGTGTAGCACCCAAAAAAAGGGTGAAACATGTACCAGCATCATTCAGTAATACAGCCTTCACCGTATCTCCTTGAACTACTCTACAACTTGCAAGAAAAGCAGTTTACGGCTAAAAGAGACCAGGGTTATTGGCTGGATAGAGACTTGTCCTAAGATAACTGTCAGGCCTGGAACTGAACTCACCCCCATGTCAGAATAATTAACCATTTAAAATCAAAAGGGCAGCATTTCCCCAAGGATAGCATTCAGAGGGCTAGGAGAGGAGGAAGATAACCAGGAAACATGGGGAGGAAGTGAGCAAAGTGATGGTATGTTGAAGGAAATGCAATGAATGAGATGGAACAAAATGTGTTACAATTGTTCAATATAAAACTGATGATCTGCTCTGTAAACCTTTACCTAATTCACCAAAAAAGTTTGGAAAGAAAGGCAGTTTTCAGCAAGGGCATGTGGTATTCAGCTAATATTAAACTGCTTTTTCTTAAAATTGACCATAAGGATACATTGTGAAGAGGACTGCTTATGGTATCTCAGAATGAAGAGACTGTGGCTAAAAATCCCCCAGTTGATACTTGAATATTAAATGACCCAAACCCTCCAACTTTGAAAGTGAAGATGGTAAACTTCTCCATTACTGCATTTCAAGTTGTGGAACCTCTGGAGTATAAAGACTGTCTATTTTATATTTATCAGAATATGTCTACTGATAGAATGCTTTAAATAAGTGAGGAAAATGTCCCCCTTTTTAATCACCTGCTTTAAATGTCTGAGAATCAAACCTCCTTTGTTTTCCTGGGTTGCAATCGAACAATTTCTAATGGGGTTTTGGCATTTTCTTTTCTTTACAAAACATGCTCACCAAACTGCACCACAGTTAACTCACTCAATGCCACTGAGTTGATGCTGACTCATAGCGACCCAACAGGACAGGATAGAACTGGCCCCTGTGAGTTTCCAAGACTGTTAACTCTTTATGGGAGTAGAGAGCCTGTCTTTCTCCTGTGGAGTGGCTGATGGTTTCGAATTGCTGACCATTTGGATCACAGCCCAATGCTTAAACACTAAGTCACTAGTGCTGCTCACCAGTTTAACTAGTTTGGCAAAGTGTTACGTTAACAATATGACAACCACAATATTTTATAAAGAAATTGACTAATAAAGTTAGTTTTATTTATGATTATTAGAAAACAAATAAATAGCGATCACTTAAGATTAAACTCAAATCACTGAGCAGAGTTAAAAATTCTACACTAGATATTGTGGGGAATATGTAGATAAAAAAAATTACTAACATGAAAAAGCTACATAGAATATACTAAAGTACAATCCCCCAAAACTCTGACTGAGAATCATGTAGATTACATTTCAGATGAAGCCAGGCGTTAGGGACCAGAAGTTACAAATTAAAAATTGTGGCTGTAGAGATAAAGCAGCCATAAAACATAGAGGCGTCTCTGGAGGGGAAGCAGCACAGAAGGTGAAGTGATTAAACCATGAGCTCCCAATCACCAGTGTTTTCTACTCCAACCCTACATCTGTGTAGAGGAATAATTCAAAACTGGTTTCAGCACAGTGATGAATTCATAGGTACATCTTAGGTTTTATTATTTCTATAATCATATTTTCTCCATTTTCATAAAACACCCATTTTAACATGTTGGCTTTTTATTTAGAACTTAACTAAGCCTATAAGTGAGAAATGAGTAATTATATATATATATATGCACACATAAATATATCAACCTATTTATCTATCTATACATATACAGACATACAACAGATATGTATTTGTTGTCTCATGTTAACAGTCTAAGAGATACACATATGTTAACACAGGCACATGTAAACTCACACATGGACACAAATGCTACAGATCCTATTTTTCAACTATATGATATGAACACTAACTGATCAGAATGGGGCAAAGTTCTGATGACCCCCACTGGCCCAAATATGAGTCTTTTAGTAACTGGATCATGGAAATTCTGGGTAAACCCTGGATTTGGGAGGGCTGAGACAGCAGCATATACCAAACAAGAGTGTGTCACTATTTTCTTTTTCTAAAAATTTTTTGTTACTTTTCTATTAACTTGTTCAGCTATGCTGGTGCATGCTAGTTGATTAGCTACATACTGTATATATACTTGCATGTATATACACACACAAATACACATGCATTTTGCCATTCACACTTTTAACCATAAAACAAGCTCCTTAAAGAGCCCTGCTATTCAAGTCTTGGCATTCAGGCTTAACTATCCAAGGATTAAACTACTTAGAGAAAATATGCAAAAGACACTAAATTTAAACTGAGAGAAATAACATCAGTAAAATGATAGAGTAAGGACTTCTTGAAAATGCTCTCTTCCATAAAAGCACAACAACAAAACTGTCAAAAATAATCTCAAATAATTTTTTAAACTCTAGAAACTAACCAAAGACTTGTAGCAATCTGGAGAGTGTTTATTTAAGAAAGACAGATGAATCTCAGTGAGATTACTAAGCTTGGTGACACTCTAAGTTGTCCTGTCCCAGAGGAAAGTCAA